CACTTGAAGTAGGACTCTTAAAAGGACCAGGCTGGGAGTACCTCAGGTAAGCCACCCACATCAGTGTTATGCTGTTGCAGGTGACATTAATTACAAAATATTTTGATTTCTGATGTGAGTCACTCATTCATACCTGTGGGAACAAGACTTTGAAAACTGGGAGAATGCATGAGGCTTACTGAAATTCTCTACATATCATGAGAGAGGGTACCCGTTCTCAGCCTGTAATGTCTAGATATGCCATGAAAAATTTTCTTGAAGGGCAGATAATTCTTAAGTTCTGCCTTTTATCTTGCCTCCGCAGTGGCTTAGCATGGCCTTAGCAATGTTGAACAAAATAGAGGTAAGCCTCAGTTCTCTTAAGCTTACCCCAGTGAGCATTAGCGGTTTTGAGAGCTAAGAGCTGCAGTCCTGCTCTGCTTGCACCGGGGAGGAACACATTTGCTGGGTGACCAATCCCTTTAGGCATACTCTGTTGCTTGTTTTGCTGCTGAATATTCCTGTTTTACTGCTGAATTTTGCAAGAATACTTGGGCATTGAGTGCTTTTTTTGCTACAGCGTAGCATAGATCTATCCGATGGAGGAAATAAGCAGCAGCAGCACAGAAAGCTCAGAGCAGAGGGGTGACAGGATGATGATATATTGTTGTAGGATAAATGATCCTCTTCAGCTAGATTCCTTTCTCGGCTCTGCCACTGTGTCATGCAGAACTTGTCTCCCTCAGTCAGAGAAGCCACTTGTGCTGACTGTCAGTGGGGAATAGCTCCTGCGCCAGTTGGCAGCTGCCACGTCCCCCTGCCCTGGTTCAGAGGGGACCCTTGGTGGGGCTGGCAGTGACCAGACCAGGGCGTTTGCTGCTGAGTGGGGGAGGCACTCCTCAACCACAACCTGTGAGCACAAAGGACATCCCTTTCTAATCTTCTCACCAGTCCCTTTGCTTTCATACAGCCAGTTAGGAAAGGGTGGAAAAAATGCTTTTGGACACTGGCTGATGTACTATTATTTCACTTACTGCACAATTTTTTCAGTACGACAGGAGCCAGAGTTCAGCAGCCTTGAAAATGCCTCTGAAATATTTTTGTCAAAGCTTTAACTGAGGTCACTGTTTTTTTTTTTTAAAAAAAAAGGCGTGGAAGGCAGGCACAGCAGTTTACAGTTTGGGCTTCCTCCTCCACCATTTTTGTACTTGAAAGATAACTGTAGCTGTTATCCTGATGTAAAGGTTTGAAATAAGGAGTGTATTTTCATATATTCATCTGGACTTTCAGATGAGTATTCTCTATTCTGCTTTTACTTGGTCCATGACAGTTCCAAAAAACATCTAATTTACTTTACTCCCTGAGCAGCTGCAGGATTTGTTGTGTTAGAAAAATGAGGGTAATAAAAAGCTGCAGGAGGGATGCAGACATAGCGATTTTTCTTTTAGCTACGTGCATAAACAAAGGTTCTGTAATCGACATTCAGTAGCTGTTTCTTTCCGTGTGGATACCGTATTAGTCTGCAAACCCTTGACCTGGACCAATGGCTGGTTGCTATGGCAATAGGTTGCATAGTAACAGTTTTTGTTCTTAGGTTGAAATCATCTTGCTTCCCTTAAATGTGACTTTTGGGGAGGTCAGAAGTTGTTCATCAGATGAAGCTAGGAAAGTTTTTTCAAAGGAGAGGCAAAAATGTTGATGTTCAGCAACCTGAGCATCTTCGGAGAGATGTTCTTTGTTCGTAGCATAGAAAATGGCAGTTGGCTCCCCCACCTTCTCCACTTCATTGAAGCAGAGGTCAGCAGCTCAACAGAAAAAAAAAAAAAATGTTCTTGGAAATGACTCTAGGAGGTTCAGGGGAATTTATCTGCTGTGTGACTCCCACTCCCAATCCTGCTAAAGGCAGTAGGCAAATATTAACAGCTTAACACTCCAGTAACCTTGACAATTTCTGAACTTAAAGTAAGCCCCTGATCAGCTGCTCTCCAGCTGGACTGCTTCTAAACCTCTGCTGACCTGAGCCTGATTTACACTGGAGTCCTTTATGAATCACAATTTCAACCACCATACACTTCAGAAGAGCAGGCTTTTGGGTTTTTGATGGCTCTGCTTGGGACGATCCTATGGGAGATTGCCCTGGGGAGCAGAGGGGCTGAGGTTGATCTACAGGGACAACCTCCCCAGAGCACAGCTGCCCCACTCCAGTGTGCTGCAAGCAGAGCCAAGCATGGCAGGAAGCCAGCGTGGATCGGCAGGGACCTCCTGATTGAGCTCAAACACAGAAAGAAAGTGCATGAGCTGGGAGGTGCTATCCATGAGGGACATAGAGACAGTGACCAAACTTGCGGGGACAGAGCTGGGAAAGGCAAAGTTCAGCTGGAGCTGAAATGAGCTATGGGAAGGGTGTCTCTGGGTACCTTAGTGACAAAAAGAAGGCTGAGAAAACAGGAGCCTGCTGCTCAGTGGGCTGGGGTGAAGGAAATTAAAGGTACTTGATGCCTTTTTTTCCCTTGCAGCTTTCACTAGTAAGGTCTGTCTTCAGACCTCCCTGGTTTCTGAGTCTGCTAGCAGAGACTGTGGAAATGTAGCGTTACCCACAGTGGAAGGAAACAGTGGTACAGCTCTTGAGCTAATTGGATGTACAGCTGCCCCTGGCACCAGACAAGGTACATCCAAGGGTGCTGAGGGACTTGGCTGATGTCACTGCGAAGCTCATCTTCAATACTGTTAAATGTCTTTATTAACCCTGAGAATAACCCTGTGCACCAGTACAGACTGGGGACTGCCTGGCTGGAAAGACAGAAAGTGCTTTGAAGATGCTGGTGGGCAAGTTGAATGTAAGGCCACAGCGTGCTTTTCTGGCAAAGAAGGCCAACCGTGTCCTGGACTGCATTAGCAAGAGTGTAGCCAACAGGACCTGGCTACACCTGCAGTGCTGTGTCCAGTTTTGCATGCCTTGGTACGAGAGATAAATACAGGAGCAGGTCTGGTGGAGAGCCACCAACATGGTCGGGGGCTGGAGCAGATGATGAACAAGGAGAGGCTTAGGGAACCGGGTTTATCCAGCCTCCAGAAAAGAGGGGTAAAGGGGGGTATAATTTCTGCCTACAGCTTTCTGTAGAGGAGCTGGAGCCACAGTCTTTTGGGAGATGTGCAGTGAAATGGCAAAAGGCAATGCAGGAAACTCAAATAGATATTAAGAAGTTGCTCTTGCTGTGAGGGTGGTCGAACGCTAGAGCAGGGGCCCTGGGAGGTTGCTGGATTCCCATCCGTGGAGACAGACAGGACTTGGCGTGGTCGTGGTGCGACTAGGTGGAGTTTGAATTGGGTGACCTCCAGGGGCTCCTTCCATCTGAGATTGTTCTACAAGTCACAGTCTCTTTTCTCTCTGGCCATAGAGAAAAGCAAGTGTAACTGAGAGCCCAGACCAGGACTCTGCCTGTAGGTGGAACTGAAAAGGGGTCGTGTGGCTATGTTACCTTCTTTTCACCCTCTCTCTCATCCCTATATATCTTGCTTCCCTGGTGAGCAGTGTCATCACAATATACTTGAAATATTTGGTAATGACACGTCACTGTAATCTCTCTAGAGAACTCTTCTAATATCACTCATTTATTCTTTTGTATTAAACACACCACTGTGTGTTTTACCTGTGTACCCTTTTGGTATGTATAAAGTAAGCGGAGTCCAGCACTGACAGGAATATATACATAGGCAGGAGCTTATAGAAAACAAAATCCAGACATGACATGGGGTTGGAGAGGGACTTACTTTTTTTTTTTTCCTTTGTGCCAGTTGATGTAATTTCTTAGTAGCTGTCAACCTCTAGCACTGTCAGAACAGCCACTTATGGCTGTGCCGCTGCATTGTGATCCTGTCAGACACGAGGCATAAGGAGGAGTGAAGTGGGGTTGTCCATTTATCCATTTAAGTCTCAGAAGGATTTGAAGGGCTGTAGCCAGGTAGTGGAAACAGTCGAAAAGATTTCACTTGGGTGAGGGATCGGCAGTGGCAGGAAGAAGGACACTGAAACAGAAGAAACAAGAGTTTGAAGGGATGCTGTCGTAGGATGGAAGGAACAAAAAATGCAGAGGGGCTGCCTTGAATTGGTTTTAGGCTGGTTTTCCTGTCAGTCTTAAAATTACTTTACAAACTGTTGCTAGTCCTCAGGGTGGTGGAACAGTGCAGGTTTGAAGGGTTACACCGGTTGCCCAGTGCTTCCACAAATCAATGGCAAATCATAAAACCAACAGATGAATTTATTATCAGTGGCCCAGCAGCCTAGCCAGCAAGTGCAATACGTGGCTTGTCCTCCCTAATGATACAATTGTGGCAGGAATGTGCTTTTGGGAGATGTAAATCTTGAGGACATGCCTGCTTGTCATTAAAGAGATGGCAGAGCTTGCTTTATGCATGGAAATGTCAAGCAAGCATCTTGACCAAATTATCAGATGGTTCATTGCATCTTGACACTTGTAGGATGTGCCAGTGGTTACACAGATGAAGAAAAGATGCTCATTGCTCCCTGTCCCCAGTTGTTCCGGCTATGCTGCGGTGCACTTCGAATGTCCATGTGGCGGCCCGGGGCAGGCTGTGATGCAGATGCGCAGGAAGTCAGCAGGGTTTATATAAAGCTCTGCTGGGTTTGCAGAACCTTTTGGCTCCTTTCCAACGTGGAAGCAACAGTATAAATAGAAAAATGTCTCACTTTTGAAGTCTACATTCTATTCGTGGAAAGGAAGGACTTTGTGCCGGAGCTGTGATATAATAGCTGTGAAATACAAGTCTCAAGACAAGTCCTGTGACAGGCTGACCCGCTTGACCACATTTCAGTGGGATGTGAGTGAGCTCAGTAGCCTATAGCATCACAACTCTGTTAGCTGGTTGCTGACATCTGAATAAGGTTTGGCTTATGAAACCCCCTATGAAAGCAGGGTTCAAGAGTAATCCATCCTCCCACCTCCCTTCCCACCTCCCTGCTAAAATTAAAAAAAATGTTGTTTTTTTTTTCCTTCGTTCAGATTAACAAAATGTTTGGGACAGTGGTGGTTGGAGTTGGAATTGCTGGCTTAGCACGAATCAGAGACTTGATGAATCCGATGCCTTCCAGCCCTTCTGAGCACCTGAAACTCTTGGGATTTGTATCCAGGTTAGAAATATCATCTTAGCATGTTTAATATGTATCTTGTAATGTTTCTTTCTTCTGATGCACATGGTTTTCCATGTGGAGGACTGTTATTTGAGGGGGGCAGGGGATGAATATCCAGGTTTTTTTTTTCCTCTTATAATTAAGGCTGTCTGAAAAGGGAAAGTTTGTGCAAATACGCCTGTCATTCTGAGTGGCAGCTAGGAAATGAGCACAGAAACCTTTGCAAGAGGGAACAAATAGGTTACCTTAGTGAGATACCTCGCAGAAATGACTAAAATAAAAGCTGAGAGAGGTTCCCACTGTAGGATCTGTGTGATAAAAAGAAATGCAATTCTGTCTGACTGAAATTTTCTGTAGGTTTAGAATGGTAGAGACAATAATTACACTAATGAGCTAATGTCTGTATGACATGTGTAGAAACATTTAAAAAACAGAAGTTGTACAGAGTCTCAAAAAAGGTTTTTTAGAAAAACATGTGTTTTAAAGCTCCTAATACTGCAACGTCATCATAAAATTCTAATTTTTTTTTTTTTTTTACACCAGGTATTGAACCTGTTGGTGTCTTTAAAGAAAATCCCATAATTTAGTACATACACTAAGGTTGCTTCTTAGAGAGGAAGAGTTTTTCTAGCTTGAAGATGTG